TATACATTGCATTTTCATTTGGTTTTAATTGCAAGCATTTATTTGAAAATATAATATTTATGTTTGTCAATTGTATTTTAAATGAAATTTTGTTCTTTTAGTTTTTAAATTATAGTTTTTCAGAGATATTAGTGTTATAATCATTGTATATGTAATAAAAATATTGATTCGTTATTGGTTTTTTAAAAATATATTTTTCTTATGTTTTCTAATATAAGATTGATATATAATAATATGTTATTTACATAAATTTTACACACGAGCCTTTTCATGTGTGCACAATCTTAATGGGCTTGTCATATCAATATTATCCTCATAGAAACTCCAAACTTAATATACATTCACATATTCCATACTTTTATTTTGCATTTACTCATAATCAAAATTATTTTATAATTGTTTAGATTTTATTAAGTACTCTATTAATTAAATATATAAAATAAAAAATCACGCCCCAAAGTTGGCCATTAGGTGGAAAAATTTAACCTTTTAAAAAGAGGTTAACGTACGTACACACCCCAAAAAGAAAGAGAGTCAAATCCCATTATGTGTAACGTGATTACGTAATTGGAGGTCGAATAGGACAGTAGAGTTAGAAAAACTCAACGAAATACTGTAACATAAAACTATTTCGGGATACACCTTTAAACTGGTAGCTTCAAAGAATCCTGTTTTGTTTGTGGTTCACCATCATACACATTTACTAAAAATTACTCTTTATAACCGCTTACGGTTACGGTACAATACAACTTTGAATAAAAGTTGGAGGAGACTGACAACTCATCATTTAAGAATTAATAAAAATTAATATTTATCCCCATTATATGTATATATAAGCCACTTTTATATAAATGTATCAATTTTATTTTCATTATGTTAAAAATATTAAACAAAAAATAATATAAATTAAATTCAAATTTAAATTAAACATCATAAATGTATAAATAAAAAATTGAGATTTTAATTTCTTCTTCTCTTTTTTTTTTCTGTGTGATTTACTTATTTTATTGAACTAACAAATATAATTTGTTCACAAAACAATTGAAAAAAGCAAATAATGAAACTAAGAATGAATAATAGGTTAAGAAAAATTCAAACAACGAAAGAACAAATTTTTAAAATGATAAGAGCTAGAAAATCACTCTAGTTCTAAATACAAGTTTAACTAAAACGGATTCATATGAAAAAAACTTATTTGATAATTACAAAAACAAAAATTTTTTTGAGGCCAACTCGTTATTAAATCCAAAACATAATTTTAAAAAGATTGTATATAAAATATTTTTTGCTACCACTATATTCATTCTTTAACAAAAAAAATATAAAATCTATAGAGGAATGGTTAATGGACATATAATCAATAAAAAATATGTGAAAACAAAACATGAATACAATAAATTGCAGAAAGTAAAAATGATCGCTAAATCGAGATTTCAAATATGTATTACCTTTTGAAACACTTTTAAAGATTTAATGACTACTATAGACACTTTTAAGTTTTAGTGTCCACTATATAGATATTTTTGTTATTTCTTACAAAAGAAAATCCTTAAAAAACCCATCTCATCAACATATGATTATTTACCCTCATTTTTTATATATATATTATTAAAATAACATCACACATCCCATATGTTTTGTTTTCTTTATTTATTTGTTATTATAAAAAATGTAAAAATTATTTTTACATTATAAATCATATTTTTTTTCTTTATAAATTGATACTCATTTTATAATTTATTATTTTAAAAAAATTATCGTTTATCGGTGGAATACATGCATATCTATATAGTTGCGTACACGTGAACGCAATTATATGGATACACATATATATATCCACGTGCATATAGCATCATTTATTGATAGAACACATGTGTATCCATATAGTTGTATACATATAGACGCAATTATATGGATACACATGCTATATACACGTGGATATATTATGAATCTAGCTTTGGCCTCATTCCTAAAGAACTAATAAAATAATTTAATCTCAATGCAAAAAAAAAAAAAATTCCGAGACAAAAATGAAAACAATAAGTTAAGCAAAATTTAGATACGTAAAGAATAAAAAATAATAAGAAGAAAACCACATCACAAAAAATAAAATCAATAAATAATTGAAAAAATAACAAGTTATAAAAATATAAAAAATGACTAAAGAGAAAATAAAAATAATAGGACAACAAATAAATCTTCAAAATATTAAAGTTATGAGTAAAAAATATGGAATCAATGACATATATATATATATGTGTGTGTGTGTATGAAAAAAAAATCTAAAAATGGTAATTTGAGAAAGTTAATAAATTAGTACTAAATGGTGATTTGGATGAAGACACTAAAAAAAAATGGATGGAAGAAATTACTAATATTATCAAAAAATTATAAAAAAATCAAAAATTGATAATCTATTATCTATAACTTGGGAGGAAATTTGGAGGAGAAATCTTATTAAATTTTAGATAAAAAATATTAAAAATACTTATATGTGAAAATATTTAAGATAACATCTTTTTTTTTTAATCGTTTGGAGGTTTTATTGAAATTCAAAAGGCAAAAGAAACATAATTGAGCTAAACAATGAGGCTTAATTGAAATCAGCAATCTCTAGTGACACATAACTTTTGCGATCTCACGTGTAGTGGAGTTTGAATTTAGTGATTCCATCTCAAAAACAACATAACCAAGGGAAAATGTAATATTGTTGATTTGAGAAGTGAGAACTCTATATCGAGGTCAGTCCAAAGGGCTTGGAGATTGCTTCATACTCCACTATACAATCCATCACAATCAAGATATATGTTATATGCAGGTCACGCAAGCTCTGAAGCGCCCACAAAAGCATCTCAGTTCTGCAGTTATACAATTTACCGAGAATGTGAATCCTTCTCTAGCATGGAATAAAACAGCACCTGAGTGATAACGAGCTAACCACGCTCCACTACTGTGTAGCACCTGAGTGATAACAAGAGATAAAGCTTGCATTTTGCCAATTTTTGTTTATGTTACATTCAATTGTACCATGGGGGAGGGGGGGGGGGTGTTGCCAATGTTTCCGCCAACACTTCCAGTTGGTCTACAACGATTCACCTTCTGTTGTTAAAACACATTTATCACTGACCAGATTTTGGCCTCATTGAAGCATTTTTTACTACTGAACTTAGAATTTCCTGCTTTTTGCCATATAGAATTGCATTCTTGTTTTTCCAAATACTCCATATAATCCAGAAACCCTAGCACGATATTCTTCACCAATCTTCTGATCATTCATGAGCTCTAGAAGGAAGACATGTTAGTCTCAATCGAGTCTGTAAAACTTTTTTATGGAGCAGGAATATTTGATATAGAAATCATATGTTCCATCAGAGTGCAGTTAACTAAGACATGACTGATTTTCTCTCTGCTCAGGTTGCAGAATTTACATTGAGGTCCACCTGCATTCCTCTGGTCACTAGACGATCTGTCACTGTGAAATGCCCTTCCAAGCGTATTACAGGCGGAGATTGAAGAATAAAACAGAGGAAAAGTCAACGAGAGCTGTTGACGAAAAAAATGAAGAATGAAACAAAGACTCGAATGGAGGAGAGGCTTTGCCGTTTTTGTTGTATCGTATCCGCACGCGAGGTCACTTTGGTAAATGTATCTAGGTGGAGTTCGGAGATTCTTGTTTGAATAGAGGTGAGATCGATATGATGTTTTCGAGGTAATATTACGAGGTCAAGTATACGAGGTAAGAGTTGAAGATTTAAGTATAAAGTTTTTCAGTCTCTATTTTAGATTACGGATCCCGTAATAAATGAAGTTACAGGGCTATATATAGTGTTGAAATTAGGTTACATCTCGGTCAGGCTAGCTTGGGCGGCCGGGTAGATAGACCTGACCGACCGTCTATTAAAACGTCATGCTGGCGAGCTGTTTCATCTGTGTCGACATGGCGAGCTGTCCCATCCATGTCGAGATGGCGAGCTGTCCCTTTGATATGAAAGGGTCAAGTCCTCGAACGACCTCGTTTTACTCTTCGCGCATGGGCTTGTCGATCTTTGATCTTACTGGGCTTCCATTTCGCTAACGGGCCTGAACGAAATTACAAAAAGGGGGCTGTGCTTAGCCCACCTACAACAATTGTCCCCCCCCCCAGTCCGTTGATGGAGATGTTGCTTCGATATTCAACGCATCGAGCTGTAGAACTTTCATTCCTTTGGATCTCGATATCGATGTGGGGTCTTCGGAGTCGAGGTGATACTTAGGGGGGAACGAGGAGTCGCAAAGAGCAACGGTCGTCTCGGGCAGCGAAGGGTCGCAAACGGTAACGGTCGTCTTGGGCAACGAGGAGTCGCGAGCGGAAGCGTAATTCTCGGGAAGCGCGTGGAATCCGTCACTAAATAAAGTACTGGGAAGCGTCCGAGTCATGATTACTTTCCTCGGTAACCACTGTTTCTTCTTCCTTATATATTCTGCTCTCCTCCTCTTCTTCTCATTTTCTTCTCCGTTTACAAAAGGTAATCTTGCTCTCCCTTCTCTCTAGAATTCCTTTCTCTCTCTAGAACTTGTCCTTTTGGTATTTTGTTTTTATTGTTATCCGACATCGAGTAATGTCTTCGGGGGGCCAGCGCATCGAGTCGAGCTTAGAGTCTGGCTCTAGATCCGAACAGGTAGCCTCTGGGAATACTAGCTCTTCCCCTGAGGTGTCTTCGAGATCCGACACCCAATCGGATCGAAATGAGTCTTCATTGGTCGAATTGGCGGATCGAGTTCGTTCTGATGGGGCGTCTCCGCGAGGTGAAACTGCGACGTCTCTTCAAATAGTTCCTTTCGAGGAAGATGGTCGTGATGGGAGGGCTGCTGAGCATGTCGAGGAAGAAGTTGACGAAGGGGGTGAAGAAGAAGACGGTTAGGGCGGGGAAGAGGAACAAGACGAGGAGGCTAGACCTCGACGTAAAGGTTCCAAGCGCAAGGGAGCCATCAAGAATCGCTTGGAAAATATTCCGTCACAGATGACGGTTCAGCGTCTGGAGGAGTTTAGATCGCGATATGGTTTTCGAGGTGAGTTGATGGCGCCGGGACCCGAAGATCGACCGTGGCTAGCTCCAGAGGGCTGGGTCACGCTTTATGAGGCGTGGTTCAGTCTTTGTCATCTCTGGTTCCCCCCTCCGAGGTTGTTGACGGACTACGTCCACCGGAGGGGTATTGCTTTCTCGCAAATTCTCCCTGCAGGAATTCGGTTTATGGTCGCAGCTCTGCTATTCGGGAGCGAGGCTGGAGTCGACGTCGATTGGCGTTTCTTCGAGGAGATGACCAACGTCCAAAAGAACAACTCGATCCCGGGCACGTACACCATAAAAGCCAGGAAGGATTGTTCCCTTGTTTATCCTGTCAATAGAACACCGAGCTGGGAGGCATCGTTCTTCTATGCGAAGGTGGATGAGGCATTGGTCGTCGATACGACCAGGGATTTTAGGAGCGAGTGGAGCAGGAGCATCGGTAGATTATCTGTTTGGTCATACTTCGAGTCTTCCCTTATCTTTTACTGATGTTTCTTTATCTTTCGCAGATCGAAACGTTCAGCTCGAAGCATTCCCGGAGGACTATCACGAGAATCTTCAGAAGATTAGGGCTGTTGGGATACAACATTGGCCCGATATACATCGTCGAAGAGTCGAGGCTGCCATCACTCGTATCACGAATGGTAAGCTCGACGTTTTTATGTTTCTTTCGTAATCGTCATCGACCTAAATGTTTATTTTCTGTTTCAGCTAGTTGGAGGAGGGAGAATAACCTGCGAGAAAGAGCACTAGCAATGGCTCCGATTCAAGTCAACGCACCCAGCCTCGCTGCACGCTTGAAGGCCAAGAACAGCGGGAGTAAGGATCGAGGTCCTTCTGCATCTCGGCTTGCGCGCACAGATCCGGTGCCGGCTCAAGGGGAGATCGAGGTCGTTCCTCAGCGCGACGTAAATCTCGAGGCTGCAGCAGAAGGTGAGGTCGAGGCTCAGAGTGCCGAAGACCAAGTGTCTACTCGACAAGTAGACGATGGGGCCGATGAAACCACGCGGTCGGCGAGGCGCGAGGAGAAGAAAAAGAAGAGGAAGCGCGAGGAGAAGAAAAGGAAGGAGGAAGCCGAGGCTGCTCGTCTCGCCGAGAAGAAGAAGGTCGCCGAGGCTAAGGCGAAAAGTAAAAAGAGGAAATCTTCCGGGGATGGTGACGACGGCGGTCAAGTTGGAGCGGAGGCTGCGAGCAAACGGCCTAGGGTTGATCCAGCTGGCGATGACAAAGCCAAGGAGATCGACTGGAGCTTCAAGTTCGAATACCCCGAGTCGAGTGAACCATTTGTCAACAACGTCGACAAATGTGCTGAGCTATTCAGGATGATAAGAGGCTCCACTTCCGAGGTCCCCTCTGGAACCGATGGGGCTTTCAAAGATATGGCGAGCTTCGCCTTCAAGGTATGTCTGGAATCTTCACTTTATGTTTTAATGTATGAGCTCGACTGATATATTTTTTGCTTTTTTTCTCAGTTCATCGCGAGCTGCAACCGTGCGCGGGGTCAGTACATGCGCTGGCTCCGGAATGGTGCCGCTCGGCTAAAGGATGCCCAGGCTGCTGGCGAAAAGGCAGTGAAAGAGCGTGACGCCGCCATCGAGGAGCAAATGGTCGCCGAGGACAATTGGCAGACCATGAAAAGGAAGGCGGAGCAGCTCGATATAGGGATTAAAGAGCTAACCGACAAGATCGAGGCGATGAAGCAAGAGAACCTCGATTTAGTGAATAACCTGCAGATCGTCAATGAGGCCAAGATCCAGGTCGAGAAGTCGATCGCCACTGAGGTCGTCCGGGCACAGCGACAAGCTGATGAGAGAATCGAGGCGGAGACGCCAGAATTTGGGCGGATGCCGAGGCGAAGTATTCCGGTCGCATCGATCGGCTGAGGATTCGGGTTGCTCAACAGGAGGCGATCGAGAAGGTTAAGCTCGATCTGGTTCAGGCTCGAGGTACATTGGAATGCCTTGATCTCTTGAAGGGGCAAGAGATGTCTGAAGCAGAGTTGAGAGCCGAGCTGGAATCGTCGAAGCGCGATTGCGAACAGAAGCTCGAGAACCTCAGCTTCACGGACCTCGAGGAGGGCGACTTGCCTCCGGCTTATCCCGAAACTCCAGATGGTGGTTCGGATCGAGATGATGCTGAGGATGAAGAGAACCACGAGGGCGGCAATGAGCCCGAAGAATAGACCATACATTCTTTTCCCTTTTTTCTTTTGACTTTTTTTTATTTAACTTCGCTTGTAAGGACTCGACCTATTTATGTTAATGAATGCTATTTTTTCAAAGTATCAGCTCGCGATCTAAATTATAAAGAGAGAATAAATACGAGGTATACTTAAGCAAAACGACATGACTAATGCGAGTATTCCTAGTTTTAGCTCGCAATTAAAACGACAATAGATTCGAGATAAAACGTTCGAAACAAGGTGAAAATTGATTTAAAAAGGTTGGAACGAAGTGAGAACTTACTTATCGGGGCAATACTTACGAATGATAGGCGCAAGACTTGGCCTAAGAAAATAATGGATACGAGGTACGAGATGCGAGGTAAAAACAACAGGTGCGAGGTAAAACTCGGCTTAAGGGAATAATAGGTGCGAGGTATGACTCGGCTTAAGGGGACAATAGGTGCGAGGTATAACTCGGCTTATCCTGTTTTATTTCATTAATCGTGTCCGAATAGTGAGAATGGTCTCGACGTAGTTATTCGGGCGATTTAAGAAAGGATGCGGGACTGATCCCGGCTTATTCTCTCATAATCGTAAGGTTTTTGTTCCTTAGGATTGATTAAGAGTTTGCATTGTAGGGAAATGCGTATTAGATGATCGAACATCTAGCCAGGATGTCGATGTGAAAGATGTCGAAGTGAGAATTTGTGTAAATAAAATTTTATTAACAGCTGTACCTTGTAAGAGGCTGCCTACGTACCCAACAAATTGGGATCAAGCCGATCGTAGTTCACATTCGAGATATAGCTTGACCGAGTATAGCTCGGTGAGCGTCTTTTTATTTATTTTTTTTTATTTTTTTTTATTTATTTAGTAGTAGTACCGCTTGATGTTCATCGAGTTCCAAGATCGAGGTATCAGTTCACCGTCCATCGTCATCAGCTCGTAAACGCCAGGTTTTACAACGTTGGTGATTTGGTAGGGGCCTTCCCACTTTGCGCCTAATTTTCCGGCGCGGTATTTTTCGGTATTCTCGAACACCTTTCGAAGGACGAGGTCGCCGGCTTCGAAGTGCCTTCCTTTCACGCGTTTATTGTAGTATCGTGAGATTTGTTGCTGATAATTTTGCATACGTAATAGGGCGTGATCTCGCTCCTCCTCGAGCATGTCGAGGCTATCCTTCATCATTCTTCTGTTCTTTGTATCGTCCTGTGTCAACATCGTTCTGCGTATGGTTGGTAGACCGACTTCGGCGGGAGCTAAGGCTTCCATGCCATGAGACAACGAGAAAGGGGTTTTATTCGTCGATCGGCGCGGTGTAGTTCGATGTGACCATAGGACACCGTCTAGCTCGTCTGCCCATAACCCCTTCTTATCCTCGAGTCTCTTTTTGATGGCGTCGAGGATAGTCTTGTTAGTTGCCTCGGCTTGTCCGTTGCCTTGTGGATATCGCGGTGTTGACTTGCTAAGTCGTATTTTCCATTTTGCAAAGAAGTCCTCGAATACGTCGGAGATAAACTGGGGGCCGTTATCGGTGACGATCTCGTAGGGTAGTCCGTGGCGGCAGATGATGTTTTTCCAGACGAAGTTCTTCACGTCGGTTGCTTTGATTTTGGCGTAGGATTCGGCCTCGACCCATTTCGTAAAGTAATCGGTGACGATAAGCATGAATCGTTTTTGTCGGGATTGAGGAAGTGGACCGACAATGTCCATCGCCCATCGCATGAAGGGATAAGGTGGCGAGGAAGCAGCCAGAAGCTCGGCTGGTGCGTGGATCATTGGCGCATGTCGTTGGCATTGCTCGCAGCAAGCTACGAATCGACCGCAATCGGTAAGCATTATTGGCCAAAAATGACCGTGGTCTTGATTTTTAGAGCGAGAGCTCGACCGTTGGAGTGATTTCCACACGCCCCTTCATGTGTTTCCCGCATGACATCGAGTGTCTCTTCGCCGTGAAGACAATTGAGCAGGGCGCCCGTCGAGCTCCAACGATAGAGGTTGCCGTGTGACTGAATGTATTTAGCGCTTCGATTTTTTAAGCGCCTCGCTGCCCATCGGTCGGGTGGAACTTGGCCGTCTGTAATGTAGAGCAAGATTTCGATCTTCCAGTCTTCGGTTGCTGGCTCTTGTTCGGCAGGTTCATCGATGACCTCGGGGGGAGGTAACTCGATGGCGTCCAATCTGTTCGCTTCGAGTTCTCGAACCGCGCATACTCCTCGTGGTAAGACAATGCTGGGGGAATCGATGCTTTCGACCGGGATTACGCGCCTTTGATGTGGTTCAGACGTCGATGCGAGGGCGGCTAGTGCATCTGCTGAGGTGTTGTCACTCCTCGGAATTCTGGTGAGTGAGAAAAGTTCAAAGCGATCAGCGAGGTTTTTGACGGCTTTAAGATACAAATCCATCCGGTCGTTTCTGGTGTCGTAATCGCCGCTATACTGACTAGCAACGAGCTGGGAGTCGCAGAAAGCTTCGATTTTTTTGACCCCGATTCCTTGCGCTAGACGTAGTCCTGCGAGTAAAGCCTCGTACTCCGCTTCATTATTGGAGGCTGGAAATTCGAGCCGGAACGATTGCTCCAATATCTCTTTCGTCGGAGATTCTAGGCGGATGCCGATACCTGCGCCTCGGGACGAGGAGGATCCATCGACGTACAATTCTCGTCAGGTAGGTCGGTCTGGATTAGTTCTGGCGGAAGCTCTACCAGAAAATCTGCGAGGACCTGCGATTTGGCACTTGTCTTATTGCGATATTCAATATCATATTCTGTCAGCTCGACAGCCCACTTTGCCATGCGACCTGACTGGCTCGGGCTGTGCAGTATGGTTCGAAGTGGTTGATTGGTCAAGACGATGATCGAATGGGATTGAAAGTAGGGTCGTAGCTTTCTGGCAGACATGATGACCGCGAGTGCGAGTTTCTCCAAAGTCGGATACCGTTTTTCTGCGTCGTCCAGAGTTTTACTAACGTAGAAAATCGGTTTCTGCTCGCCTCGATCTTCTTTGACTAAAACGCCGCTTACTGCCGAGCTCGATACAGCGATATAGAGGTAGAGGGTTTCGCCTGTTTCAGGTTTGGCTAAAATTGGAGGGCTGGCGAGGTATCCCTTGAGCTGTTGGAAGGCTTCCTCACATTTACCGTCCCACTCGAAACGTTTGTTGCCTCGGAGAAGTTGATAGAACGGAAGACACTTATCTGTGGATCGCGTGATGAATCGGTTGAGCGCTGCAATTCGGCCGGTAAGACGTTGGACTTCGCGAGTGTTGCGAGGTGATGGGAGATTGATTAGGGCATAAATCTGCTTCGGATTTGCCTCGATTCCTCGTTTTGTGACGATGTAGCCTAGGAATTCTCCGGAAGTTACCCCGAAGGTACACTTAGTCGGATTGAGCTTCATCTGGTATTGATTTAGAACGGTGAAGCAAGCTTGCAGATGGCCGATGTGATCACCGGCGGTGAGCGACTTTACTAGCATATCGTCGATGTAAACCTCCATCGTTCGTCCCAATTGATCGGCGAACATGTGGTTGACTAGTCGTTGGTATGTTGCGCCCGCGTTCTTTAAGCCGAACGACATTACCTTATAGCAATAGGTTCCTCGATCGGTGATGAAGGATGTCTTCTCACGATCCTCGGGATGCATCGTGATCTGATTGTACCCGGAGAAGGCGTCCATGAATGACAGGAGCTCGTTGCCTGCAGTCGCCTCGACGATTCTATCGATGTGCGGCAAGGGGAAACTATCCTTGGGGCATGCTTTATTGAGGTCGGTGAAGTCTACGCAGATTCGCCATTTGCCGTTTTTCTTTTTGACGACAACGGGGTTTGCCAGCCATTCTGGATATTTGACCTCGATGATCGATCCAGCCTTTGACAAACGTTCGATCTCATCATTGACGGCTTGTGCCTTTTCTGAACCTAACTTCCTCCGCTTCTGCTTGATCGGTTTAAATGTAGGATCGATGTTAAGCTCATGACTTGTGATTGAGGGATCGATCCCGAGCATATCGCTTACTGACCAGGCGAATGTCGTTGCATTTCGGCGAAGAAGTCGTACGAGCTCAACCTTGATCTCCTCCTTTAGATCGGCTCCGATCCCTACGCATCGTTCGGGGTCGCTTTCGTCGATGTTGACTTGGATGACGAGCTCCTGCTTCGGTCTTTCTTGAGTTGGCAAATCGACTTGAGTTACGGGTAGAATCGTAAGACACGCCTTGGCTGGAATCGCGGATTTGGATCGGAGCTTGTGCTCTGCGGCGAAGCAGAGTCTCGATATCTCCTGAGAACTTTGGATGGTTTTTACCCCGAAGGTGGTTGGGAATTGAGGCATTGATGATAGGTCGATGGTACTGCTTTCATGGATTTCAGCCAGGGCGTTCCCAAAATTACGTTATAGATGGCGGGTTTGTCGACGACGACGAATTTGACGAGGCGAGTCGTCTTTGCCGCATAGACTGGAAGCCTGATCGTTCCGATCGAATAGACTGTGTCTCCATCGAATCCCATAAGTGGCTTAACCGATGACTTGAGGTAATGGTTAGTCAGTTCCATTTTGTCAAGCGTTTCTTTGAAGATCAGGTCGACCGAGCTTCCTGTATCGACCAGTATTCGAGATACTTCACAATCCGCGATCCGCAGCTCGACCACAAGCGGATCGTTATGTGGCATGTCGACCCCCTCCGTGTCGGCCTCGGTGAAAGTGATCGCATCGTTATCGGCGGTCTTAGGGCTTTTAACTTGCCATTTTCGTGCGAGCATGACCTGGCGGCCGTACTTTTTTATCGACCTGACGGAATCGTTGCACGTCGATAGGCCTCCCATAATAAAGAACACCTTCTTTCGAGATGCCGGAGGAGTGTCACCTCGAGGTTGGTTTCCACGGTCTCTCTTCGCGACGTCGTCTTTGGATTGATCGTTCGTTGGAGGAGGAGGTGGAAGCTGTTCGGCGGAAGCCGTTGGTCGAGCCCCGCTGTTTCGCGGCGTGGTGTTTTGAGGCTGGTTTGCTAATGCGATCTCCCCCTTGCGATATTTGGCGAGCAAATAGGCCTGTAGTTCGCGACACATCGCAGTCGGGTGACCATACTTGTTGTGATAATCGCAGAAGGGTCGTGTCTCCCCATGATCTCCTCGCTGCCAGGTGTTTGATTGGTTTTGGTACGGGCGATTTTGCTGCTGTTGAGTGCTAATGTTGTACGTCGCTCCTCAGCGATTGTCACCTCGATAATTATTGTCGAGGTGTTGTCGAGGTTCCTGATAATCTTGTTTGGGGGTATCTTTGTGAGGTTGCTGCTTCAGTGTCGCTTTTGCTGGCGACGCGGTCTCTTTTTCTTCTTCGTCTTCGATGTATAAAGTGGCATGGTGAAGCGCGTCTTCGAGAGTTCGGGGTTTGCTGAACTTGAGGCTGTCCCGAAACTTCGAATCGATTCGCAGGGCATTCCGAAGAGCTGGCAGCGATGCTTCGTCAGTCACGGTGATCCGAGAAACGATCGCATTGAACCTGCTGATGAAAGACCGAAGGGATTCTTTTTCGCCTTGTTTGATCTGGTAGAGGTCGGCGCTGGAAACTGCGCCTTGGATATACATCATGTACCTCTTGAGGAATGCGGTCGACAATGCTTGGTAGCTGTCAATCGAGTTCACTTTTAACTTGGAGAACCAAACGAGGGCCGCACCGCCGAGGTTTTCAACGAACAGTTGGCAGAAGCCTGCATCTTTTTCCTCGGGGGTGAATCGTGCTCGGCCCATTTGAATGCTGAACGCGGTCATGAATTGGCTTGGGTCCGAGTTGCCTGTATACGTCGGGAGATTGAACTTCACTTGAGTTCTTATCGGGAAGTCGGTAATTCGGGTCTTGAACGGCGTGCTTTGGCTTTCTTTCAACACACGGTCGATCTCAGGTGCCGAGCTAGTGGCTTGATGGACAAGCGAAGTCATGGCTCGCAGCTTGGCCCTCATTTCGAGCATTTCTTTGTCTTGCTGCGAGTTTCTTATCTGAAGCCGACGTGTTTCGTGTTCGGGAGCTCCGATGTTCACTTCATCGCAATTCGAGGTTGGACGATTTTCTGTTGTTGGTGGTGCGGGTGAGTCTCCGAATAAGGCGCGCTGTACGCGCTGAATTTCTTGGGCTCGTCTCTCTGGGGCTTGAGTCTCTGAAGAATGTAATATGTTGACTTGATCTTGGCAAGAAAGTTGTGCCGCGGCGAGCTCATTCAGGCGAGCGCTTGTCTGATGATTCAGCTCTTCCATTCGAGCCATTATTGTTGCGAATAACATTGCGACGTCGGTAGGAGCTGGTGTGCTTCGATTTGCATCTTGTGCTTCTGGGTGTGAAGTTGCGTTTTCCACGGGATTCATCGTTGGTGAATGCCTATTCGAGGTCTCGGGATTGTTAACTGGTGACGCGAGGAGTTCCTCCTCGGCAGTAGCTGAGATGGGGAGGTTAGTTGTTTCGTTGATTTGAATTCCTGACATTATCGAGCTCCTCTTTGCGTAGAAAGAAATCTCTTTGCCCCACGGTGGGCGCCAATTGTTGTATCGTATCCGCACGCGAGGTCACTTTGGTAAATGTATCTAGGTGGAGCTCGGAGATTCTTGTTTGAATAGAGGTGAGATCGATATGATGTTTTCGAGGTAATATTACGAGGTCAAGTATACGAGGTAAGAGTTGAAGATTTAAGTATAAAGTTTTTCAGTCTCTATTTTAGATTACGGATCCCGTAATAAATGAAGTTACAGGGCTATTTATAGTGTTGAAATTAGGTTACATCTCGGTCAGGCTAGCTTGGGCGGCCGGGTAGATAGACCTGACCGACCGTCTATTAAAACATCATGCTGGCGAGCTGTTTCATCTGTGTCGACGTGGTGAGCTGTCCCATCCATGTCGAGGTGGCGAGCTGTCCCTTTGATATGAAAGGGTCAAGTCCTCGAACGACCTCGTTTTACTCTTCGCGCATGGGCTTGTCGATCTTTGATCTTACTGGGCTTCCATTTCGCTAACGGGCCTGAACGAAATTACAAAAAGGGGGCTGTGCTCAGCCCACCTACAACAGTTTTATCTTCAAAGTTTATATACGAGATGTAATTCATTTTTAGTGTTTATGTTTTTGGTCGTTGGAGTTTGTTGAGAGTGGGAGAGCTCGTAAACTATGGCGATGATTGTTCTATGATCGTTGAAGAGAGATTCTGAGAGAGTTACATTGAGAGAAGGTACGTATTATTATTTGTAATCATCTCTATTCTATTTTACATATCAATACAAATGACTATCAGAAGATTGAGGTTCAGAACATAACAAATTGGTGCGGTGAGCGGTCGAAGCTTCGCGATTGAAATCAATGGCGGAATCTGAGTTGGTGTCGAAGAAGATTCAAGGTTCTTTGGGAAAATTACATGGCGAAGTGACGGAGATTAAAAGAGGATGGGAGAAATTGACAAAGGCAAATGCAGAATTGACGAAGGTGAATAAAGATTCAGGAATCCGTTTCGCATTGCTCGATAAACAATTGGAGCTTGTTTCACAAACACTAGCTCAAATCGAAGCTAATTCGTTTCAAGGATCGAAACAGAAGGGAATTGCGACTTCTTATGGAGCTATAGATCAGGTAATTTCTACTTCCTCAGAACCATTGCTGGAGTCTAGCTAATCACTTAGGTTATCAGGGAATTAATAATACCTTTGCTACCAGAGAAAGTTTGTTACAAAAAGTAGATATGCCAATTTTCGATGGGAGACTTTCTTTTGCATGGATTGCTCGAGCTGAAAAATTCTTCAAAGCTGCTCAACATGAAACAGATGATGAAAAATTGGAAATGGTTTCGTTGAGTGTGGAAGGATCAGCGCTGGATTGGTTCAACTGGGAATTAGATCGAGAGCCTTTCAATAGATGGACTGAGTTTCAGATGTGGATGTTGGATAGATATGGACAATCAATGGAGGATGAACCAGGAAAACAACTGTTCAGCATTAACCAGACTGTATCGGTTGCAGATTATTTTCATGAGTTTCAGGCATTGTGTAATCAAGTCGTCGGTGTCAATGATAAGAACTTGGAGCATATGTGCTTTATTAATTGCTTGAAACAAGAAATTCAAGAAGTTCTGAAGTTAAAGGAACCAGTTGGGTTAAAGAAACATATTACTGCGGTTATGAAAATGGAGACAAGTGCATTTTGTTGAATTATTGGAATGGGACAACAAATCGAGTACAAACATAAATCTCCAGCAATTGTTCCTTTTTGAAGCTCTTCAATATATAATTCTCAACAGAATGGTGGAGTCGTTGGGAATAAAAAAACAACAATAAACTATTGCTGATAGACCAAGGACAAGATGGAAAACATCAACAAAACTTTGGAAACACAAGACCTAGGCAGAGATTCTCAGATTCGGAGTTGAATGAGAAGAAGAGGCTGTGACTCTGTTTCCGATGTCCTGAGAAGTGGTCCAGAGCACATAATGCAGTTTTGTCCCAACAAGGAATTACGCTTGTTAACTGTATTGAATAGGAATGAGATGGAGGTGTTGGATGAAAATATGGTGGAACTAGTGGATTCGGAAGAGGAGGAACAAACTTCTCAGATGATGGAACTGTCCTTAAATGCATTTCTAGGCATTGACTCTTCTACTACAACGAAGATGTGTGGTCGTATTGGGAAAGTGAATGTGATGGTGATGATTGATAGTGGGGCACACATAACTTCATAGACCCTCACATTGTAAAGAAAGCAAAGATGGAGATTTTTTTGAGTAAGAAATTGCAAATACTGTTGGGGACAGGTGTGAGAGTTGATGCATTAGGGCTGTGTGCAGAAGGGTTGATTTTCACATACAAGGGTTTGATTTTGTGAATGACTTTATCGCTCTGGAGTTGGGAGGAGCTGATATTATTCTCGGTGTGCAGTGGCTTCGTACTTTAGGCAAGTGTTTGGTAGATTGGGAAGAACATGAACTCACATTTAATCATGAAGGGAAGATGGTTACCATAAAGGGTGAACCAGATCTACATCATAGAAAGCTGTCTTTGAAGTCATTATCTACACCGTTTTTGGTTCATAGTAAAAGAACATTATTGGAGTTTGTGAATCAAATGATGCTGCAAGGAGAAAAACATCAGATTCCAAAAATGAATTAAACGGTTTTAGACCAATTTACTCATGTTTTAGAGATGCCAGCTGGATTACCTCCTGTGAGAGGAAGGGAACATAGGATTAATTTGGTTCAAGAGTGACAGCAATATCGGTAAGACCCTACAGATATCCTCACTCAAGTAAAGAGGTGATGGAAAAAATAGTCACAGAGATGCTAGAATCTGGAATTATCAGACCAAGCAGAAGTCCATTCTCAAGTCTTGTGTTATTAGTGAAGAAGAAAGATAGCTCATGGAGGTTTTGTGTGGACTATTGTGCTTTGTATAAGGCAACGATTCTAGATAAATATCCCATTCCTGTTATTGACCAACTCTTAGATGAATTACATGGAGCAACAGTTTTCTCTAAGTTGGACCTATGATCGGAATATCATCAAATACGAATGAAGGAGTAGGATGTAGAGATTATTTCTTTCAAAACTCATGAGGGCCATTATGAGTTTTTAGTTATGCCATTCGGCTTAACAAATGCTCCGAAAACTTTCCAAGTCCTAATGAATGACGTTTTCAGAAAATTCATGCAAAATTTGTATAAGTGTTCTTTGATGACATCTTAGTGTATAGTTCGTCTATCACTGATCATCAGGAACATCTTCAAGCTGTGTTGAAAATTTTTGCGGAACAACAGCTGTTTGCTAATCAAAAGAAATGTTTATTTGGTCAAAGTAAAGTAGATTATCTTGGCCATATCATTTCAGAGACTGGGGTTGCAACTGACCCTTCTAAGACAGATGCAATTCATCGATGGACAACTCCAGAAGCAGTGAAAGAACTTTGTGGGTTTCTTGGGCTAACAGGGTATTATTGAAGATTTTGTGAAGGGATATAGCTTGTTAGCTAAACCATTGACTGAAATTTTGAAGAAAGATAGCTTTGTTTGGTCAGAAGTGGCTCAAAAGGCATTTGATAAATTGAAAGTGGCGATGTGTTCAGCTCCAGTATTAACATTACCAAATTTTGAAGAGACTTTTGTGACGCATCTGGGTACGGTTTAGGTGCTGTGTTGATGCAGAAAAAAACGTCCTATTGCATACTTTAGTCACGGGTTAACTACAAGGAAATAATTAAAACTAATCTATGAGAGGGAGCTTATGGAAATAGTTCTTTCTGTTCATTAATGGAGACATTATCTTATGGGAAAGAAATTTCTGGTGCATACTGATCAGAAAAGCTTGAAGTTTCTTTGGGAACAAAGAGATGTATCATTGGAGTATCAGAAGTGGTTAACAAGATTATCGGGGTATCAGTTTGATATTGTCTATAAGTCAGGAGTGGAGAATAAAGTAGCAGATGGTCTATCTTGAATGATGCAACCAACGGTTGAAGCTACAAGTTGTCAGTTGATGGCAATCACTATTCCCCAGGTACTTCAACTACATGACTTGTATAAAGAGATTGATAGTGATGCAGAGCCTAAAAAACTGAAGGAGAAGGTCTTGAGTGGAGAATTGGTGAAGAATGATTTTTGGCTCATGGAAGGAAGGTTGTGGTTTAATCAGCAGTTAGTGATTCCATCGAATTCACAATTTATTCATTTGACTATGAATTTCCATGATAGCTTGGTTGAAGGACATTCAGGAGTTATTAGAACCTTAAAGTGAATTCAACAACTATTTTACTGGAAACATATGAGGTGTGTGGTGAGGAAGTATGTGAGTGAATGTGTCATCTGTCAAACTCACAAATACTCTACATTGTCTCCAGCAGGATCACTTCAGCCTCTACCAATTCCTTCACATATATGGAGTGACATAAGTATGAATTTTGTAGAAGGATTGCATTCTTCGAGTGGGAGTAATGTTGTATTTGTTGTGGTGGATCGCCTGAGTAAGTATAGGCATTTCATAGAGTTGAAGCATCTGTTCTCTCTAGTCAATGTTGCACACAAATTTGTCTCAGAAATTGTATATTTGCATGGGTTTTCGACTTCAATTGTGTCAGACAGGGAACCAATTTTTTCTTAGTTCATTACAGAATGAGAGTTTTAAGCTAGCAAGAACTCAGTTAAAGTTCAGTTTTGCATTTTATCCTCAAACAGACAGTCAGACTGAAGTCTTAAACCGTTGTTAAGACTTACCTTTGTTGCTTTGTTTCATCTCACCCGAAGACTTGGTTTAATTTTCTGAGTTGGGCTGAATATTGGTACAATACATCATATCACACTGCTTTACAATCCACTCTTTTTAAGATTGTGTACGGTCGTGGTCCTCCCACTTTCTTCAAGTTTGAAGATGGCTCAACATAGAACTTTGAATTGGAAGAGAATCTGAAGGAACGAGATGCAATGCTAGAGGAGATTCGAGAGTCATTACTGAGAGCTCATGATATTATGAAGAGAAATGCAGACAAAAGTAGAAGGGATGTGGAGTTTGAGGTAGGATCTAAGGTGTTTTTGAATGTTATGCCCTTACCGTCAAATTATGTGGCTAGAAGAGTTTGTCAGAAGCTTGCTGCAAGATTTTATGGACCCTTTTTGGTGTTGGAGCGAATTGGGAAAGCAGCTTATAGACTTCAACTTCCAGCTACATCTAAGAGACACCCAATGTTTTATGTCTTGCAGTTAAAAGCAGTTTTGGGTCAGAATTTGGAGGTGTACCTTTTACCCATGTCAATGTGGATGCATGAGAGTTTGTGTTACTTCCGGAGAAGATTTTGGAGAGCTGGTATAGTAACTCAACTGGTCGTTTGGCGATATTGGTTCAGTGGATCGATTTACCTCATCATGAATGCACTTGGGTGGATGATAAAGATTTTAAAGATCAGTACCTAGCCCAGCGATTCAGCTTGAGGACAATCTGTGTCTGATTGGGGGGGGGGAGGTAATGATATGCCCTTCCAAGCATATTACATGAGGAGATTGAAGAATAAAGCAGAGGAAAAGTCAACAAGAGCTGTTGACTAAAGAAATGAAGAATGAAACAAAGACTCGGAATGGAGGAGAGGCTTTGCCGTTTTATCTTCAAATATATAAGAGATGTAATTCATTTTTTGAGTTTATGTTTTTGGTTGTTTGAGTTTGTTGAGAGTGAGAGAGCTCGTCAACTATGGCGATGATTGTTATATGATTGTCGAGGAGAGATTCTGAGAGAGAGAGAGAGAAGATACGTCTTATTCTTTGTAATCATCTCTATTCTCTTTTACATATCAATACAAAGGATTATCAGAAGATTGGGGTTTAGAACATAACAAACTGCCAAAGCTCCAAACACCGCTCTCCATAGAAAAAGTCTGATTTTGAGTTATGTCTTGATGTACCAGATTTTTTGTTTAATTTCCAGCACATTCTGCGGTGCAGCAGGTGTAGGAGGGGCTGATCGCGGGGGATGATTTGCAGTAAACCAATACCCGCTTCCACACTCTGACAGTCTGCAATTTCAAAAATGTGGGTGGCTTCTGATAAATGGAACAAATCGTGAATCATATGTAGACAACATTTTTCTTCAACAGAGATGAGGACGACACCTTCAAATGGAGATCAAAATATTTCTATTCAAAATTCTCGGGTGGTCATCCATGAACCATTTCTCTGTTCATACCTTTTTATCTTCCCCATTTTCTAAAGATTTAATCATCCCTATAAGTAAGAACTCTGTGCCATGAATGATGCTACTTGTT